TTCTGTTAGTTTTTTTTTTCAAGCGTTAATGTTTATTCTTTTTTATTTTTTTGCCAATGTCAGGTATTTCTGGTAATTTAAAAATGTGGTTCACAAAACCAAAAGAGAGGCTTCTCTAAGGGACTGATTAGATCAAAGGGAATAGGAGAGAAGACAAAGTTAGAAGAAACCATTCACTCAGTATCTTGTACGCACCTTGATGCATCTTGCTCTAAAACAAAAGAGGCTAAAATTCCTTTCAAGCAATTTTACAAACACCTTGTATGCACTTTCTTTGATTCTACTTTGGTGAGAACCAAAGAATTGGGTTACAAGTCCAAGATCGATTATGAAGGAAGAATGAAATAACATGCAAAAGATCGATTATGAAGGAAGAATGAATAAACATGCAAACAATCGACAATCAAATTTATGTAGTTCAATAATAAGTCTGGGCTTACTGTGGAACTAGCAGCAGAGGGAGGTTGACAGGTGAAGATTCAAGCAAACAGGGCGGCGGTCGACCGGTCCGGTTGACCGCATTCGTGCACAAGACTCACTGGGCTTCAGCATTGGTGTCGGTCGACCGGGTCGGTCGACCGACGAACTCTCTGGAATTTTGGTTGGCTTCTGGATGGAGGGCGGTCGACCGGTCCGGTCGACCGACATGGATCGCGGTCGACCGGTCCGGTCGACCGACGCTGCGGGTTTCAGTTGGGTTCTGTTTCCAGACCCGTTTCGTTTGTGAGTTGTATTTAAACCCTAAACTCGATTCTAGTGTTAAGCTTGGGAGATTTTGAGCTGCTGAAAGGGGATTAAGAGGGCTTCTATTGTTGGAGTCTATTGGAGAGATCAAGTGGTCTTATTTGAGGGTTTTGGGTAAGATTTGTAACCCTAATTTGTATTCCCCTTTGATTTCATTAGTAAAGCTTCCCCTTCCTTGCCCCGTGGACGTAGGCACATTGCCGAACCATGTATATCTTGTGTTCTTGCTGTGATTGGTAGCTTGTGATCTCTTGTGGTCTACTATTGTTCTTGTGTGTGCTTTTGATTTGTCTATTTGGGGCTTCCGCGGCGCACAACAAGTGGTATCAGAGCTCCGGGTTGGATTTGGGAGTTTATTTGAAGGATTCATTATTGGGTTCTTGTTGGGAGAGTAGATCTACAATATGGGTGATACAAGCAGGGCTAGTTCAAGTGCTACTAGTACATCGGGGTCGGCTTTGACAAAGGCGATCCAAAATTTGAGCATCAATAACACTAAAATTGATGTCCCAAAGTTCGACGGCAAGATTAACTTCGGTTTATGGAGGTGTCAAGTAATGGACGCCTTAGATGCACAAAATTTGGAGGAGACTCTTGAGTTTCAAGAGAAACCCGAGGAGATTGATGATAGGGTTTGGAAGAAAATGCATAGTAGGGCTTGTGGGGTGATTCGGTCATGCTTGACGCCGGATCTCATTTATGATGTGATGAACGAGACATCAACAAAGAGATTGTGAGAAACGCTCAATAAAAAATATTTGACAAAGAGCATTGAGAATAGGCTTCATTTGAAGAAAAGGTTCTACCCATACTGCTCATATGGGTGTGGTATTATTTGAGGATGTTATGTTTTAGTGGGAGTTTATAATTGTGGTGGTGCTTTATGTTTGGTTGTATTGTCTGATCAGAATAAAGTTTTCAGTTAAGTCACTTTGTTACATTATGTTTGGTTTTGACCTCACTAAGGAGGACCAGTTGAAAATAGACATGTACTGATCAATTTCGGATATGGCCAATGTTGATATCATGGTGGAGGATGAAGATAAGGCGATGTTATTATTGTGTTCATTGCCGGATGATGAATTTAGTACTTTTGTTCTCACTATGATTAATGGGCGAACTACAGTGAGCTACAAGGAGGTGATCTCGGCATTGGTGAATTATGAGCTGAGAAAGAATGATTGTGAGCCCTCCGAGAAGGCATCGGGTGATGCACTTATAGTTCGTGGCCGTAGTCCAAACCGCCAAAAGTTCAACCGCTCAAAATCAAAGAATAGGGGTGGCCATAAAAGTGTTGGTAGAAATCAATGTGCCTTTTGCAAAGAAGAGGGACATTGGAAGAATGAGTGCCCAAAGTTGAAGGATAGAGCCAGGAAGCAAAGGGGGAAAGCTGTACAAGCTTCAGAGGTTAATGTTGCTAAGGTTGTTGACGACATTTCAGATTCAGATTCTTCCAGTTATTCTTGTCCCGCACTGTCGTCAGTTTGTTATGCCGACTCTACGGAGTGGATGCTTGATTCGGGAGCTACATTTCATATTTGCCCTAAGAGGGATTGGTTTACCAACTTTGAGGAGTTGAAGAGAGGAGACGTGGTGCTCATGGGGAACGATCACGTTTGTCATATTAGTGGGATTGGCTCAGTCAGAATCAGAATGCATGACGGGGTGACTAGGGAATTGAAAGATGTGAGGTTTGTGCCGTAGTTGACGAAGAACCTCATTTCTCTTGGGACTTTGGAGGCATCTGGTTATAGAGTGATCTTAGAAGATGCTAGTTTGAAGGTCATGAAGGGTTCTATGGTGGTGATGCGAGGTGTCAGGGAAAACAACCTATACTACTTGAAAGGCAAGACAGTTACAGGGGGTCTGACAGCTTCTATTACCACAGAGGAGGACACTACCACACTATGGCACATGAGGCTTGGACACACAGGTGAAAAGTCCCTTCAGTCATTGGCAAAACAGGGACTATATTCATAACACCCAAGGTATATTAGACTACATTCACACAGATGTTTGGGGCCCTTCTAAGCACACATCGCTTGGTGGGGCAAATTATTTTGTCACTTTCATTGATGATTATTCCAGGAGGAATTGGGTATATACCATGAAGCATAAACATGATGTCCTGGATATATTTGTGGAGTGGAAGAAGAAAGTGGAGCTGCAGACAGGTAGAAAAGTGAAGACTCTTCGTTCATACAATGGTGGAGAGTACAAGAGTGATCCATTTCTGCAGTTTTGTCGGGATCACGGCATTAGAAGACACTTCACAGTTAGAGATACACCGCAACAGAATGGGGTGGCAGAGAGACTGAATCGTACCTTGCTGGAGAAGGTACGATATATGATGACACAGAGTGGATTGGCTAGATCTTTTTGGGCCGAGGCGTTAGTTTATGCGAGCCATCTCATTAATAGGTTGCCGTGCACTGCGATAGAGGGGAAGACTCCTTTGGAGCGTTGGTCTGGTTCTGTGGCTAGTGATTATGAGACTCTTCGGATTTTTGGGTGTCCAGCTTATTTCCATGTTAGTGATGGGAAGTTGAATCCGAGAGCGAGGAAGGCTATCTTTGTGGGATTTAGAGAAGGTGTAAAAGGCTTCAAGTTATGGGATCCACAAGATAAGAAGATGATCATTAGCAGAGATGTCACATTCGATGAGGCGTACATGATGAAGCCTCGAGTTCCTCAGCAGGTGGAGGAAGATCAGACAGAGAGGATATCGCAGCAGGTGGAGTATGATGTGACTCCACCCACTCCAGTTAGCACTGTTCCTATTGAGACTCCTACAGAGGTGACACATGAAGGAGATGAGATGACAGTCGGGCATGAGGAGGATACAGTGGATGGTGTCATGCTCAGGGGTCCATTGCAGCAGATAGACCGATGAGAGAGATTCGTCGGCCAGCTAGATATGATGATGTCATGGTGGCATATGCTTTATCGGTGGAGGTCGTTGATGATTTGATTCCTACCACATTCAGGGAGGCAGAGTCCAGCCCTGATTCTATTAGGTGGAGGAATGCTATGGAGGAGGAGATGCAATCTCTTCAGAAGAACGACACTTGGGAACTTGCACATCTACCTAAGGGTAAGAAAGCTATTGGTTGTAAGTGGGTGTATGCTAAGAAGGAGGGATCTTCTATTGGGGACATTCGGTTCAAGGCCAGATTGGTTGCCAAGGGATATGCACAGCTTGAGGGCGTTGATTACAACGAGGTGTTTTCACCCGTTGTGAAGCATTCGTCGATTCAGATACTATTGGCATTGGTGGCACAGCTGGACTTAGATTTGGTCCAAATGGATGTGAAGACAGCCTTTTTACATGGAGACTTAGATGAGGAGATCTACATGACACAACCTATGGGGTTTAAAGCTGCTGGAAGAGAAGACTTGGTGTGCAAATTGAAGAAATCTCTTTATGGACTGAAGCAATCACCGCGACAGTGGTACAAGAGATTTGATAGCTTTATGATTGGCCGAGGGTACACGAGGAGCCCTTATGACCCGTGTGTTTATATGCGCAAGCTACAGGATTGTGAACACATTTATTTGTTATTGTATGTTAATGATATGCTCATAGCTTCCAGGAACACTTCAGCTATTGGGAAATTGAAAAAGGAGCTGTCATCTGAATTTGAGATGAAGGACCTGGGAGAGGCTAAGAAGATATTGGGTATGGAGATTGAACGAGACAGGGTGAAGGGGAGATTGAAGCTTACACAGAAGAGTTACTTGCAGAAGATGCTGAAGAAATTCAGTTTTGAGGGTAATACCAAGGTGGTGAGTACTCCATTAGCTCCCCACTTTAAGCTTTCAGCTTTGATGTCACCAGTTTCAGTGGAGGATAGGGACTACATGTCCAAGGTTCCATACGCCAGCGCATTGGGTAGCTTGATGTATGCTATGGTGTGTACTAGGCCAGATTTGTCA